AGGCTTCCCTCTAAGCAGGGAGCCCGATGCAGGGCTCGATCCCAGGACACTGGGATCATGACCTGAGTCGAAGGCAGCCGCCTAACGACTGAGCCACCCAGGTGCCCTCCTTCTTTCTTTTAAAGATTTATTTATTTGAAGGGGGGGGCAGAGGGAGAGGGAGAGAGAATCCCAAGCAGACTCTGCACTCAGCGCTGAGCCTGATGTAGGTCTCAACCTCACAATCCCAAGCCATGACCCCTAGATCACAACCCAAGCTGAAACCAAGAGTTGGACACTTAACTGACTGCACAATCCAAGCACCCCAGAATGCCCTAATTTTCAAAAACACTGGTTTTTACTTCACTAGCCTATTACTGCATTTCCTTCAATTCCTATGGCATGCAATATGCAGAACTTGATAGGTATATTTCAGGCCAGCATAACACTTGGCCAGATGTCATTCTCTGTTCTCTTTATAGAATTTCTGCAGTGTTTCCTCTAAATGTTTTTTTTTTCTATAAGATAATCTATCTTCCTTTTTTTGTTTCCCCCATTTCTTTTTTTTTAAACTCTAATCACATAACCCAATAGAGATCTAAAAGTCCTTATTTCAGCATCTTCTAATCTGCTACTGAATTCTTCCCAGACCCGTGATTTAACATCTGTGTTCAATATTCTAATCTACCAAAGAAAACTGGAGCTCAGCTTTATTTGCTTCTTTCAACCTGGGGGAAAAAAGGGGAGAATAATTGAGCTCATCAGCTTCCTGATTTGAGATCTTTATAATATAGCTTCATTATTTTGACATGAATTCCCTAGACATTGGACTCACCCATAGTCAAATTTAAGGGCAAAAGCATCCAAAAGACAAATATATATTACTTTTGGATTACTCAACCTCTGCTTCTTCTGATATAGGCAACTGAGTTGACATTATATTTTACACAGTGAAAAGGGATACCTTTGGCTAGCAATTAGCCTTTTATATAACTTCGTGATATTGTATCCCAAAGAGATAGAATACAGATTTGTTAATAACCCTTTTAAATGTTACATTTAAAATAACTTTAAAATTGGGTCATAATGAGTGATTCTTGAAAAATCCCCAGCTGATTTTAATGCCCTAGCTTTAAATAATGCTGAAACACAATGGCTTCATCTTGGAAAATTTGACAACCAAATTGATACTAATTAAAGCAATGTGTGCAATTTTCCTAGGGCTCTAAAACAAAATGGAATTTGAAACTCAGTAACAGGGCGCCTGGGTGGCTCAGATGGTTAAGCGTCTGCCTTCAGCTCAGGTCATGATCCCAGTGTCCTGGGATCGAGTTCCGCATCAGGCTCCCTGTTCCTTGGGAGCCTGCTTCTCCCTCTGCCTCTCTCTCTGTCTCTCATGAATAAATAAATAAAATCTTTAAAAAAAAAAAAGAAATGAAATGAAACTCAGTAACAAACTAGAATGACTGTCAGAAAATTAGATAATTAAAAGATTTTAAAAGAAGCACACATGTAATACAGTAGAGAAGAGATAGTTCTGCAAGGTATAAGATGGAATGCAATTTATGTGATTCTTTTAAAAAGATAATACCTGAGTGCATTTAGCAGGGCTGACCCTTGGATAAGCTTAACCCTGAGGTAGAACTGGGGCCTGAATCCAGGATGGGACAGGAGGAAAATCAGAGCCAGTCATAGAGTTGGGTCATGGGGCAGCAAGCTAGTGTTCAAATGACAAATTCACCACTGACCCAACTGGCATTGAAATTTGGTCCATTCTAGTGGGTAAGGGTATAGAAAGTAGAAAAAAATGAAGTCAGGGAGGCAGTGGTTTTGGGATTTCAGGAGCAGAAGTCTAACAAAGCCTTGGGTTTATGGAGCACAGGATTCAGCCCCTCAAGAACAGGCTGTTAGGATCCCAACCACATGGATTTGGTTCAGTGTTCCTGTTTCAAAGGGGATCTTGAATTCTGAAGAGTTAACTGAGGCAGAAATGCAGTCATATGGTCTGGAATAACACAGAGGGATGAGGAGAAGCTGTGGTTTGGGGGCATATGAGAAGCCAGGGTTCTCCCTAGGCACACAAAACCCAGGTTCAAAACAGTAAGACTAATCCCACACTCCCCTGGCTGTGGTCTGAATCTGATAAAATATTGCCTCTTAGGTACTAAGATAAAAGCAGTCAATGGTTGCAAGAGTTAGGAAGGTGGTGAGGCTATATGTCGGATTGAGAATACCAATGCCTTAAAAGAACAGGACAAGCAAAAGTAAAAACCAGTAAGAACCCAGTTCTCAAGAAATTATTTGTGATATAAAGAAAGAATAGAATACTCAAAAAGGAATGGTTTGTACTTAGATACATTCAAAAGAAGGTGCTGCTTAACTGTTATATCCAGTTAGGACACAAGAGTGGTTCCTGCTTCAGCATACTTGGTAGTTAATTTTTTAAACCCGAAATGTTATGAAAGCTAATAGTAATAGATACATTTACTGAGCACCTCTGTTGGGCCAAGCATTCTATAATGCTCTCAACAACCTAAAACCTACAAGGTAGTTAGACTATTATCACTATTTTACATAGGGAAACTAAGAGTCAGAGAGGTACAATAAATTGTCCCCAGCCACTCAGCTTATAACATGCTGAACTGGGTCTGGTTCAGTAAAACAGTTGAAAAGAAATAGGCTTATATTATGGAATAAAATATATACTGTTTATTGCCAGTTAACTTAAGCAAAAAAAAAAAAATTGGATATATAGTTAAGCTTACTTTAGTATACATGTACATATATAGCAAAATAAAAATAAAATACAAGCTTTACTACTGTGATACTCTAATGCTAACTGGTCCTTTCTCATTCAGATATTAGGGAAATGTGTATAATGTCTATTCTTCTCAATCTCTGTCTTGGTTTTCTTAGTGCCTGCCTTTTTACTCCCCCACTTGTTCTTCGGATAAATACATTACCCCAGTTTCTTTGCTAATCCTAAGTGAAATGGAACTTATGTTTAAAATCTGCTGGTACGGGGCACCTGGGTGGCTCAGTTGTTAAGCATCTGCCTTTGGTTCAGGTCATGATCCCACGGTCCTGCGATCGAGCCCCACATTGGGCTCCCTGCTTGGCGGGAACCCTGCTTCTCCCTCTCCCACTCCTCCTTCTTGTGTTCCGTCTCTTGCTGTGTCTCTTTTTGTCAAATAAATTTAAAAAATCTTAAAAAAAAATAAAATCTGCTGGTATTTAAATTCAACTTACATTTCCTTCAAGACTTTGGGTGACACTCAAACGTTACTATGGAGCCTCCTCCCAGCTACTCTCAAGCAACTGATATCAACTAATACCTGATGACAGGAAAAGCTAAGGAATTAGGTAATATTGTTAGCAAGGATAATAAAAATTTTAACAAAAATTACTACAAACTCTTAAAGTTATAAAGAAGATGCTATGGATGCCATACTACATCTATTCACAAAGATCTGTTTCATTATAAAGGAACATTTATAATTAACATCTAGTATTGATTAGAAAATCAACTTCCAGGGATAAAAATAGTATAGTTGTAGTATGTAAATATGTGCATCACATAAAGAAGGCTGCAATACTAAGATTTCACTGATTTCCAAGCAAAATAATATCAGATGTGTCAAATAAAAGCATACACTGAGTATCTGAGGGGAGAATGAAGGTCAAGTTTAGGGATAGGAGGGGAATGTCTCCCTGATGCAGGGAGGGGAAGAAAAGAAAAACAGCAGCATTCACAATAATTGGAATGGAGAAGCAGACTTTCATCAAGGCAGGGCAGATTTGAGGTCCTAGAAAATGCTGGTGACAATTAAATATCTTCTTTTTGTCAGTCCACCCTACCAGATCCCATCTCTCACATCTCCAATCAAATGTACTAATGGAATGTGCTCCACATACATGACATTAACGATGGCTCCAGAGGTGGGGATGAGACCCAAGCCAGGTGTGAGAGTTTAGCCAACCATACAGTCAGAAGGAGCAGTGTCCACACAAGACTTCCCTCACTTACGATGTCAACTACAAATTTGGGGGGGGTTCCCCAAAACACCCTCAGTTTTGATACTTTGCTAGGACTCAGAATGCACTAAAACCTGCTGTATCCACAGAGTTATGGGCTATTATGGGGGTTAAAACTGGCCAAGAGAAAAGACGCATAGAGCCGAGTCCGGGAGGGGTCTGAGCTTCTTGTCCCCTCACATGGAGTCACGGAGAGTGTTAACTTCTTCTAGCCACAACATGTGAAGATATGCATGGCCAGCAAAGGAAGCTTGCCCCAATCTTTGGTGTTTAGAGTTTTTATTGGGACCCCATCACATACCACCTGTGTGGCTGACCTTTAGTCCCCAGCCCCACTTGGAGGTTAGGCTGATATCTTTATACTCCAGGCTCTCTGGAGGTAAAACTGACACCAAGTGGCCCAAAACCCCCATAATAAATCACATTTTTAGACTGATACTGCATGGGTCAAAGCCCCCAGGCAAAGATACTTCTACCAGCAGGACATTCCAGGGGACTAGAAATCACCTCCTGGTAGTTTGGGGGCAAAGGCACCTCTCTTTGGGTAAGGTTAATTCTTTTTTTTTTTTTTTCTTTTTAAGATTTTATTCATTTACCTGACAGAGAGAGACACAGCGAGAGAGGGAACACAAGCAGGGGGAGTGGGAGAGGGAGAAGCAGGCTTCCCGTGGAGCAGGGAGCTGGGTAAGGTTAATTCTTGACTACATATCAGGCAAATCAAAATTCTTTCCCAGGAATTTTCTTTTTGGAAATAGAGGAGAAGGAACTGTCTTAGGATCCCCAGCAGCAGAGCTTGAGACAAGATTCTTATGTAAGTGATTTGCTGAAGGAGTGTTCTTAGGAGAAAGTGATCAGGACGTGAGTGAAGCACAAAAGTACAGGGGAAGATACTAAGCAGAAGAAATAGTTTCAGTCGAAGTCTAGTCATAGCCAAATTCCACCAGAAACTCTTGAGCATGATTGATCGTACCTCAACATTGACATACCTTGAGAAGGTGTTTTGTACCCTCATATCAGTCAGCCATTGGCTGTAGGCCACTGAAGTGGTGGGGTATTATTTCACAGGCATTTCCGGATGATGCAGCAACTAGTGGCCCAAGACTGTTCTCCAAAATTGGATGCAGCCGCATTGGCACCAGCTCGAAGATAGATGCACTGACCTGGAAAAGGGGTAGGATGGGTGGGCCATCAATAACATTTATTACAGTCCACACCTTCCACTGCTCAGATCAGCTTGTCTGTCACAGTGAGTTCACTACACCCAGTCACAGTTTCTCTAGGATTCTGGTTGATCACAATTTCTGGGGAAAGTTACAAAAGGAGGATCAATGGGACAGATTTCTGCCCCCGGCTGCTATATGTAATCACAAGGCCAGATACTCATGATGTCCCTCCTCTACTGCTCCATTCGTAATTATTCTCCCCATTGACAAGCATTTCCACTGGTCTAGGTTTGCATGGTAGAATAAGCCAGACACCCAATGGAATTAGCACTAAGACCCTTCTCAAGCTGTGGTTGCTGTTTTTGCCTATTTATAGTTAGAATCAGGGTGGGAATACCAAGAGATGCAACAGTGCATCACCTTAATTTCTTCCTGTTCCTTTATGTATCAACAGTTCTACCTCTTCAAATGATGAAAGTCAGTTAGCCCTGCCAGTGTAGTAATTACTTTCTTTGCTTACCAGCTGCTGTAGAGGGACAAGAAGTGTAAAGTGACCAGAATGCAGCTATAGCTTTAAGTTTAGAGGTACTCTATGTTGCTTAGTGCAAAGACCCCACTACCATGGAAATTTAGACCTCTCAACGCACAGATCCCAAAGCTGCAAGGAAAAGAAGACAAATCCTCCAAATGGGTCAGGGGGAGTGATGTTGAGTGGGGATACTACTGTTTCTATACCTTAGTTCCTGAACCTATGTATTCTAAATACTGGGGACATAGCACCATATAATATTCATCACTTTAAGATGTATACACCATTCTGAAGAATAATGTCCCTTTCTCACACGAGAGTCATCTCTAAGCTACCACATCAGCAGAAGCTTTGAAAAGCCATTCCAACTGATAATGGCACAAACAAATGGAAAGATACTCCATGCTCGTAGGTTGGAAGAATTAATATTATTAAAATGTCCATATTATCCAAAGTAATCTGCAGATTCAATGAAATCCCTATCAAAACATCAACAGCATTCTTCATAGAACTAGGACAAATAATCCTAAAAGTTGTATAGAAACACAAAAGACAAAGAAATAGCCAAATAGCCAAAGAAATCTTGAGAATGAACAACAAAGCTAGAGGTATCACAATTCCAGATTTCAAGACATGCTACAAAGCTATAGTAATCAAAACAGTATTAACACATAAACCAATGGAACAGAATAGAGAGCCCAGAAATAAACTCACAATTATATAATCAATTAATCTATGACAAAGGAGATAAGAATATACAGTAGGGAAAAGAAAGTCTCTTCAATAAATGGTGCTGGGAAAACTGAACAATTACATGCAAAAGAATGAAACTGGACCACTTCCTAACACCATACATAAAAATAAACTCAAAATGGATTAAGACCTATCTCAATGTGAGACTGAAACCATAAAAATCCTAGAAGAGAACACAGGTGGTAATTTCTCTGACATGGTTGTAGTAATATTTTTCTAGATATGTCCCCTAAGGCAAGGAAAACAAAGGCAAAAATAAACTATTAGAACTCCATCCAAATAAAAAGCTTTTGCACAGCAAAGAAAAACACCAATAAAACAAAAAGTCAATCTGCTGAATGGAAGAAGGTATTTGCAAATGAAATATCCAATAAGGGGTTAATATCCAAAATATAAAGAACTCATACAACTCCACACCAAAAACCCCCCAAACAATCCAATTAAAAAATGGGCAGAGGACCTGAATGGAGATTTTTCCAAATTTTGGAAAAAATTCTCAACATTACTAATTATCAGGGAAATGCAATCAAACCCCCAATGAGATATCACCTTACACCTTTCACAATAGCTAAAATCTAAAACACAAGAAATAACAAGTGTTGGTGAGGATGTGGAGAAAAAGGAACCCTCATACAATATGGGTGGGAATGTAAATTGAAACAGCCACTATAGAAAACAGTATGAAGGTTCCTCAAAAATTAAAAATACAAATACTATATAATCCAGTAATTCCACTGTTGGGAATTGCCAAAGAAAATGAAAACACTAATTCAAAAAGATATAGGCACCCTATGTTGACTGCAGCATTATTTTTTTTTAATTTTTTAATTCTTATATTATCCCCATACATTACATCATTAGTTTTAGATGTAGTGTTCCATGATTCATTGTTTGTGCATAACACCCAGTGCTCCATGCAGAATGTGCCCTCCTCAATACCCATCATCAGGCTAACCCATCCTCCCACCCCCCTCCCCTCTAGAACCCTCACTTTGTTTTTCAGAGTCCATCGTCTCTCATGGTTCGTCTACCCCTCCGATTTCCCCCCCTTCATTCTTCCCCTCCTGCTACCTTCTTCTTCTTCTTTTTTTTTTTTCTTAACATATATTGCATTATTTGTTTCAGAGGTACAGATCTGAGATTCAACAGTCTTGCACAATTCACAGCACTTACCAGAGCACATACCCTCCCCAGTGTCTATCACCCAGTCATCCCATCCCTCCCACCCCACCCCCCACTCCAGCAACCCTCAGTTTGTTTCCTGAGATTAAGAATTCCTCATATCAGTGAGGTCATATGATACATGTCTTTCTCTGTTTGACTTATTTCGCTCAACATAATACCCTCCAGTTCCATCCATGTCGTTGCAAATGGCAAGATCTCATTTCTTTTGATGGCTGCATAATATTCCATTGTATATATATACCACATCTTTATCCATTCATCTGTCGATGGACATCTTGGCTCTTTCCACAGTTTGGCTATTGTGGACATGACTGCAGCATTATTTACAATAGCCAAGATATGGAAGCAACCTAAGTATGTCCACTGATAGATGAATGGATAAGGAAAATGTGAGATATATATCTCACACAGAATATTATACAGCCATAAAAAGGATGAGATAATGCCATTTGAGACAACATGAATGGACCTAGAGGGTGTTATGCTTAGTGAAATAAGTCTGACTGAGAAAGGTAAATACCATATTATTTCACTCACGTGTGAAATCTAAAAAAAAATTAATAAACAAAAAGCAGAGTTGGACCTATAAATACAGAGAACAAACTGATGGTTGCTAGAGGGGAGAGAGATGAGGTGATGGACAAAATGGGTGAAGGAGAGTGGGAGATACAAGCTTCCAGTTATGGAATGACTAAGTCACAGGGATAAAAGGTATCGAAATATAGTTAATGGTATTGTAATAGCATTGTATGGCAACAGATGGTAGCTACACTTGTAGTGAATATAACATAATGTATAAACTTGTCAAATCACTATGTTGTATACCTAAAACTAATGCAACATTGTGTGTTAACTATCCTCAAAAACAAACAAACAAACCCCCAGCCATTCCACTATAGTATCAGGCTGATAGCTCCTGGGTTGTGCTATATGTGGTAGAACAAGTAGATTCCATAGTCACATGCAAGTTGCCTCATCTCCTTTGCCATAAGGTGGGTCCTTTGTTCTAAGGAGATATTATGTGGGATCTCCTATCAGTAAATCAAATAATCTGTGAACCCTCAAAGAGTAGAGTTAGAGCAAACTCTGAAGAAGAAAAACACACCCATACCCAGAAGCACCACAGTAAAAATGAATCTTCGCTCTTTCAAAGGTGGACATTATCTCATGTAAGCAAGGAAACCAAAAGGTCTTCTCAATGGAGTATAAATGCTCCTCTCAATTATCCCAAGTAAAAACGAGCATTTTGGCCCTTTAGTTCCATACCATATTCTATGGTCATGGCCGAGGTCAACAATATCCCTCTTCTGCTCAGATTGCAACATCTCTGACCCAGAAGATCTTTCACATAAGTATTTAAGAAAAGTGTCCTAATCTACACCACAATCTATATAAATGAAGAATTCTAAATTTATCTAAAGCCTCTAGGTGCATTAAGTCCAGTTCCTCATTTATCAGAGGCTTCTATTCTCTTTCCACTTTAAAGTTAGTTTTACCTCTGAATGCTATTTGCTGGATAAAATGGAAGGAAAATAGGAGTTACAATCCTACCTTCTTTAGTAAACACTGCTTATCTTGCCTAAAACAGCTAAAGTGTGCCTTTTCAATTATTTTCATCCAATAATCTAAACATCTTAAAAGAAAGTAGAATACACCTGAAAATAATGTAACATTGTGTGTCAACTACACTTCAATTAAAAAAAGAAGTAGAGGGGGCACATTTCTTATTTTTTGCATTTCTTATCCATTGGAATTCCAACCTTCCAGTTTTAAAGATTCATGCCACATTATGCTGTTTGTCTTTTAATTATGTGCCATTCCGTCTGTTTTTTAAAGATCATTTCAAAATCTGAGTTTATCACAAAGTTCCTTATATAGCTAATTTTATTTCCTTATGTGCCAGTTACCTCATTTTCCCAATGAAATAATTAATGATTGAATAGTGATAATTTCATATTTGTAAGAAACTCATATTTTAAACCATATTCCTCTACAGATATTCTAGCCTTAGTACCATAATTCATTTTTCTGTATTTAAAGTAAAATAAATTTCTGACTTCGACAATCCCATTTTTTCAGGTCCAAAGCCAGAGGGACAGAAAGGACATAGTCTCCTCTCCAGAGATTCCAATCTCAGATTATCTTCAGCTCTTTGTTAGTAAGATTTAAATTCATAGTTATATTTCCCATTACTGTATTATCTACCTTATCAGAGAAGAATTTTCCCTCAGGGCTGGCATGTATCTTTAGAAATCTTTCTCTTCACTAGATTCAACAAAAAAGTCCAAACTCAAGTTATTTTAACCACTATCATTAATTTGATTTTGTTGTTGTCTTTACACTTTTTACATCATCCCCCCCCCCCCCCAATCTTGTCCTCTTTAAAATAGCATAATATTTTCTGAAAAATAGATTCTTTGTTCCAGGAGTTTGCAACACTCTCTAATTAAAGAGACAAAATAAAATTCCAACTTGATCTACAAGCTTTGGAAGTTCAGAGGTGGGACAAACTGGAAAGAGAAATGGCTTT